ATTCACTATGATATTATCATAAATTTGCATGTGTAATGTATATTTCTAGCGTTAATTCTAAGCTAGGATCAAACTCGCAATATAATAATATATATAAAATATATAAATAACATATATAGAATTTATATGGAAATAAGTAGAATTGAACTACTATTTTTATTATGCAAAAATAAGATTTTACCATTAAACTATATTCCCTATTATATAATATATTATATATATAATAATTCTTAATAGCTTAGTGGTTAAAGCATTCGGCTGTTAACCGAAAGATACTAGTTCAACTCTAGTTTAAGAAGTAAATATTATTTTATATTAATATGAATAAAGAGATTTGAACTCTTATAGAAAACTAAAATCTAAATTTAGTGCGTATACCATTTCCGCCATATTCATAATTATATAATAAATCTAGTAAGATTTGAACTTACATATAAAACTTAGAAGGTTTTTATTTTATCCATTAAATTATAGATTTATGTAAGTAATATTGGATTTGAACCAATGATCTTCTGTATGTAAAGCAGAAACTTTACCTCTAAGTTAATTACTTTATTTTTATTATTATAAATAATAAACTTGTAATTTAAAGGATAAAATATATAATTACGAATTGTATTATAAAAGTTCAAGTCTTTTCAAGTTTAATTGTTTATAGCGAAATAGAGCATAAGGAAAGTTCGTCGGATTCATGCTCCGAAGGTAATCGGTTCAATTCCGTTTTTCGCTTATAAAATATAAAGTAATTTATAATTAATTTATTATGTAATTATTAATTATATAATTAAATATATATAATAAATTTAAAAGGATGTCTATAGTTTTTATTATTGAAGAAAGACGTTATATATATTAACGAAATTTTTATAATAATTAATAAAAATAATATATATTTATTTTTATTAATATTATTTATTTTTATTATAAAAGTATCTGAATAAAATATTTTTATATAAATATTTTTTTAAAAAACTTAAGGAATTGAATCATCTTAGTACTTAAAGGAAAATAAAGTAATAACGATTTTCATAGTAGTGGCGAGCGAATTGAAATATTTTAAACATTAATTATGTAAAATTTTATATAAGTAATATAAAAATATATTTTATATGAATGTAATTATATAAAATAGTAAGAATCATCTTATAAAATTTAATATAATAAAAGTTGATAGAGAAATAGTACCGTGAGGGAAAGATGAAAAGAATTTTGAAAAAATAGTGAAAAGAACCTGAATTTTAAATTTAATAAATAATAATAAAATTAATTTAAATTTTATTATATTCTTGTTGAAGAAAGAATTAGCAAGTTATAATAAATAGTATATAATTAGGTTAAATATATAATAAATGAAGCCAAAGTTATATCGAGTTTATAAATTTTTAATAAACATTATAAATATTATTTATTATAGACCCGAAATCAAATGATCTAATTATATTTAAAATTAAGTTTAAATAATATTAAATTAAAGTTTGAATTGATTACTGTTGCAGAAGTATCAAATAAAATATAATTAGTGGTGAAATGCCAATCGAATTTGAAGATAGCTGGTTCTCTTTGAAATATATGTAAGTATAGTATTTATATATAAATAAATGTAAAACTCTTTTTTAATTAAATTAATTTAAATAATTAATATTAATATTAATAATTTAAGAATTTTATTTAATAAAATATATATGTTATCAGAAAATAAAGGATAAGCTTTATTTTCAAAAGGGAAACAGCCCTAATTATAAATTAAGATTTTTAAATATTAGTTAAGTTTTAAAAAGAATATAAAATTATTTTTATAATTAAAAAGTAAATTTAGAAGCAGTTATCTTTTAAAGAGTGCGTAAAAGCTCATTAATTTAATAATTTTAGTTCTAAAATAATCGAAAATAAATTAATTATCGATATTATAAAATTTAATATGTAAATTAAATTGGTAAAAGAGCGTTTTGATAATATTTATTTATATGTAAATTAAAATAATAAAATCAAAAGTGATAATGCTAATTTGAGTAATGTAAATATTGGTAAAAATCCAATACTTCTATAATTTAAGGTTTCCTATTTAAAATTTATTTGAATAGGGTTAGTCGAATCTTAAGATGAGATGAAATGTGTAGTTAATAGGAAATAAGTTAATATTCTTATACTATATAATAATAATGTATATTATAAAACTAATATAATAATTTTTATATTATTATATTATAAAAAAATTATTAATATATATTTATTATATATTCGTACCGTAAACTGACACTAGTAAATTTGTATATATTATTAAGAAGTTGAGATAATTTTTTTTAAGGAACTCGGCAAAATTATCTTGTAACTTAGGGATAAAAGATACTTATTTAGTTTATAATAAAAAATTTAAGCGACTGTTTAACAAAAACACAAATCTTTGCTAAATTGAAAAATGATGTATAAAGATTGACATCTGCCCAGTGCTATTATGTAAAAATAATATATATAATATAAAATTATAATATATTATATAAGCTATAGTAAACGGCGGCTGTATCTATAACGGTCCAAAGGTAGCGAAATTCCTTGTCGGGTAAGTTCCGACCTGCATGAAAGATGTAACGACTTAAATGCTGTCTTAAAAATAATCTTAATGAAATAAAATTATCTGTGAAGATGCAGATTTCTTATATTAGGACAGAAAGACCCTATGAAGCTTTACTATTAATAAATATTGAATATATATATGTAAAGCATAGTATAAATGGGAAATAATAATATTATTTTCTTGGAAATAATGTAATTTAAAATGAAATACCATTTTTTATATATATGAATTCTTAAAAAAATTTTATAACAAATTTTTAAACAATATTTATAAGATAGTTTGACTGGGGCGGTCTCCTCCTATATATAAACGGAGGAGTACAATGTTATATATATTATATAAAGATATATATATAATTAACTGTAAAATATACAAATTAAACAGAGATTAATGTCGGTCTTAATGATCCGATAATTATTTAATGATAAAATTATCGCTTAACGGATAAAAGTTACTCTAGGGATAACAGGCTAATCTTTTCCGAGAGTCCATATTGACGAAAAGGTTTGGCACCTCGATGTCGGCTTATCGCATCCTAAAGCAGTAGTATGTTTTAAGGGTAAGTCTGTTCGCCTATTAAAGCGATACGTGAGCTGGGTTCAGAACGTCGTGAGACAGTTCGGTCCATATCTAATATAAGTGTTAGAATATTGAAATTATTTTTTTTAGTACGAGAGGATCGAAAAAATTATACCAATGATATATCAATTATTAATTTTTGTAATGTTGAGTAGTTAAGTATAAAATTTTAATTGTTGAAGTAATATAAATAAAAAAATTTAATTGAAAATAATATTCTAATCATATATATGAATAAAACAATAATTAGAAAAATTATTTTATAGGCTTATTATATATTTATAGTAATATATTTAGTATATAATTCCTAATAAGTTGATTATTTAATTATTAATATTTTATTTGCTAAAGTAGCTTAATTGGTAAAGCAACTGATTTGTAATCAGTAGATTATGAGTTCAAATCTCACCATTAGCTTGAATTAGTTATAGTATATTAAATAAATGATATTAAAAAAAATTTTAAATATTTATAATTTAAATTATAAATATCAATATAAAAATAAAATAAATTTATATTTAATAAGAAATGGGTTAAATAATAATTTGATAAAATATTTATCTATGAATATTTTTTTATCTAATTTTATTTATAAATTTAAAAAATATTCTTTAAAAATATTAAATATTATAAAATTTCCTGATTGGAATTTTTTTGATTGTCCTATTATAAATTATGATAATATTATTTATTTTTCTTCTATTTTAAAAAATAATAATTTAATAGTATATTTAAAAAATAATTTAAATATAAATTTTTTAGATAGTATTCTAATAAAAACAAATTCTATAGATATTATTTTTGATAGTATATCTATATTACATACTACTCAATATTTTTTAAAAAAATTAGGTATAATTTTTATATCTTTATTTGATGCTATTTTTAAATATCCTTTATTAATAAATAAATATTTAGGAACAATAGTTTCTTATAAAGATAATTTTTTTTCTACTATTAATTCTATTATTTTTAGTGAAGGATCTTTTTGTTATATTCCTAAATATATAAAATGTAAATTTAATTTATCTACTTATTTTAAAACTAATTCTTATGATTTTGCACAATTTGAACGTACATTATTAATTATAAATGAATATTCATATATTATATATTTAGAAGGATGTACAGCTTCTATATATAAAGAATCTCAATTACATGTTGCTATAGTAGAAATTATTGTAAAAAATTATAGTTATGTAAAATATTATACTTTACAAAATTGGTATAGAGGTGATTATTTAGGTAATGGAGGATTATATAATTTTACTACTAAACGTGGTATTTGTTTTAATTTTTCTAAATTAGATTGGATTCAAATTGAATTAGGTTCAATTATAACATGGAAATATCCTTCAACAATTTTAAAAGGAAATTTTTCTATTAGTAATTTTTATTCAATATCTTTCTTATCTTATAATCAAATTGCAGATACAGGTAGTAAAATGTATCATATAGGATCTTATACTAAAAGTTATATTATTTCAAAAAGTATTTCTTTAAATAATTCATTAAATATATTTAGAGGGTTAATTTATATAAATCCTTATTCTTTTAAATCTTATAATTATACTGAATGTAATTCTTTAATATTTGGAAATAATTCTTTAACGGTTACAATTCCTTATATAAAAAATTATAATAATACTAGTTATATTAAACAGGAAGCTTTTATTTCTAAAATTGAAATTTTATATTTATTTTTATTAATGCAACGTGGATTAAATATTTCAGAAGCAATGTCTTTAATAATTATTGGATTTTGTTTTAATATTTATAATCAATTACCTTTTGAATTAAATTTAGAAATACCTATGTTATTTTCTTTGAAGATAAAAGATATATTTAAATGATATATTATTATATTATAGATAAGTATTTAATAAATTTGAAATATTATTTGAATAAATATAAAAAGTTATTAAAGTATAATAAAGTAAATTATAAAAAAATGTATATTATTTATATGAAATATAAAAAATATATATTAATTATAAAAAAATTAAAATATTTAAATATTATTTAAATTTAAAAATTTATATATAAATAAAAAATGAAATTAAATATAGTAAAAAAATATTATTATATAAAAAATAAAATATTATTTAAAATAATATATAATAATTATATTTTAAATAATAATATTATAATAAAAATAAATGTATATGAATATAATAATTATAATAATAATATATGTAATAAATTAAAAATATTTAAATTTAGTGGAATAATATTTAAAAAGAATAATAAAAATAATTATATTATTATATTAAAATATAATAATTATGATATATTATATTTATATTTTTATTTAAATTCTTTAAATATAATAAAAGTATTTAAAATAGGTAAATTAATTTTTTAATTTAATATTATGATATATTTAAATAATGTTATATTTATAAAAAATAATTATATTATTTCTAATTTATATTTATTATTAATTATAGAAATATTATATTATTTAAAATATTATATATTAATGATTAATAATTTAAATATTAAAAATTTTAATATAATATATTTTAAATTAATAGTTTTATTAACAAATATAGATATAAATTCAATAGATACAATTCAAAATGTTAATAGTTTATTTAAAATAATTTTAAATTTAAATATTAATTTTATTTATATTAATAAGAAACTTAAAATTAATATATTATTATTTATATTGCCTTTAATATATGATAATATTATTATATTGAATGGATTATATAAAACATGTATTCAATTATTTAAAAAAAATAATAAAATTTTTATTATTAAATTTAAAAAAAATAATAATGATATTATTTATATATATATGTATATTAATTATTTAAATATAAAATTAATATTTGAAATTAATAATATAAATATATATTGTTATTATGATATTTATAAATTTAATTTTATAATTTTATTATTATATTTAAATTATATGAATATAATAATTAAAAATTATAATATTATATTAAAAAAAATAATTATTTATAATTATATTAAATTTATAATAATTAATAAAAAATATAATATATATAATATATTTTTATTAAAATTGTTTATTATTAAAATATATAATAATTTTTATAATAATAAATTATTTATAAATATTTTAAAAATAATATTTTCTATTAAAATTAATTTTATATATTATTATAATTATTATATAAATAATATTAATAATAAAAAATATTATTCTATTATTGATCATTTATTAATAAAAAGTAAAGAATATATAAAAAATTTTAAAAATAAAATATTAACTATTACAAATTTTAATATTAAATTATTATTTAATTATAAAAAGTATATAAATATTATTTTAGAAAATATAAATATAAATCCATTAATACAATATTCTGATCAAGTAAATAATTTATCTGAAATAAATCAAAAATTTAAAATAAATATGATTACAACAGGATTAAATTCAAAATTTATTTTAAATACTGATTTTAGAGAATTATCTAGAAATATATTAGGATATATTAGTTTAATTAATACAAATGAAGGGTTAACTTGTGGATTAATTAATTATTTAACTATTAATGTTTATTTAAATTTAAAATATAAATTAATTACATATTATAAATATTTATTTTATTATAAATATAATTTTAAATTAATATTAGATATTTTTGATAAAAATTTTTATAATATTTATTTTAATAAAATTTTTTTAAAAAAAAATTTAAATTTTAATAAAATAAATATTTTAACTATTAATAAAAATACATTTAAAATAAATAATATACAAAAAAATATATTTTATATACCTTTTAATTATTTATTATCTTTTATAGAAAATTTAATTCCTTTTATACATTATAATGATTCTGTAAGAAATTTAATGAGTATAAAAATGCATACTCAAATAATTCCTATTTTATATCCTATTTTAAGTAATATTATTACTAATTATAATTTTATTTTAAATAAATATTTAAATTATTTAATTATTTCTTATCAAGAAGGAATTGTTATTTATGTTTCTTATGTAAAAATAATAATAAGAGATATTTTTAATAGACAAATAATTTATTATTTAAATACTTATAGAAAATTTAATCAAAATGTATTATTAATATATAAACCTATAGTATGGGTAGGAGAAAAAATAAATATAGGTAAAATATTAGCTATAAATTCAAATTTATTATATTGTGAATATAGTTTAGGTAATAATTTATTAGTAGGTTATGGTTCATATTTAGGTTATGAATATGAAGATGCTATTATTATTAATAAAAAAATATTATATAATAATTTATATACATCATTACATTTGAATATTTATGAAATATCATGTAATATATTAAATAATATTCCTGAGATATGTAGTGTAAATTTATCTAAAATATGTTATAAACATAAAATAAATTTAGATAAATATGGTATAATAAGAGAAGGTTCTTTTATATTAGCTAATAATATTTTAGTTTCAAAATTAATTTTAATGCCTTTTATTTTTAATAATAAAAATTTAATTAATATTATTAATTTTTTATTTGGAAATAAATTGAGAGTATTTAAAAATAAACCTATAATTTCTACTATATATGATATGGGTAGAGTTATAAAAGTAGAATTTTTATTTAATAATTTATATAATAAAAAATTAAAAGAGGTTAATATATATTTAAAAATAAGAATATATATAGGAGTTCAAAAATATTTACAATTAGGAGATAAAATTTGTAATAGACATGGTAATAAAGGAGTAATTTCATATATAAATGAAATTAATGATATGCCTTATTTAAATAATAAAATTCAACCAGATTTATTTATAAGTTCTATAAGTATTCCTTCTAGAATTAATGTTGGTCAAATTTTGGAAGGTGTTTATGGATTAAATAGTTTATATATTAATAATAGATATATTATTTCAAATAATTTAAATAAAAATTATTATAATAATTATATTAATATATTTAATTATTATACATATAATTATATTAATAATTATAATATAAATAAAATGTCTTATAATTATAATAAATATTTTTTAAAAAATCCATTTACAGGACATTTAATTAATAATAGTTTTTGTTTAAATAGTATTTATTATTATAAATTAATTCATATGGTTCGTGATAAATTAAGATATAGATTTATAGGATTATATTCTGAGTTAACACAACAACCTATAAAGGGGAATACAAAACAAGGAGGTCAAAGATTTGGAGAAATGGAAGTATGGGCTTTAGAGGCTTTTGGAGCTTCTTTTTTATTTAAAGAATTTTTTACATATAAATCAGATGATATAAAAAGTAGAAAATTATTAAAGAATTATTTATTTAATAATAATAAAATAAAAACTACATTTATTTCAGAAACTTTTAAATTAATTTTAAAAGAATTGCAAAGTTTATCTATAAATATAGAAACATTTTGTATATTTAATAACAATAATAATTTAATAAAAAATATACCTATAAATATAATTTATTAATATATGATAATTTATAATAATATAAATTTTATTGGATTAAAATTAAATATTTTAAATCCTAAACAAATAATTAAATGGTCTGCTTTATATTATAAAAATAAAATTATAATTGGAGAAGTTTTAGTACCTAATACTATAAATTTTAATACAGGATTACCTATTTTATATGGTTTATTTTGTGAAAAAATATTTGATTATATGTATAGATGGAATTGTAATTGTAATAAAAAAATGTATAATATAAATAATTTTTCATATTTTTTATATTGTATATTTTGTAAAAATAAATTAACAATAAATATTAATAGAAAATATAAAATAGGATTTATATTTTTAAATATACCTATTTTACATTTATGGTATTTAACGGGTCCTTTGAAAATAGCTTCTTTATTATTAAATAAAAATGTTATTTATTTAAAATTTTTAATTTATTATAAATATTTTTTTAATAATATAAAATATAAACAATATTTATATTACAATAAATTATATTTTAAATTAAATATAAAAAAAAATTTTAATATAATTCAATATTTATTTTCTCATAATATTTTATATAAAAAATTAAAAAATTTAAATTTATTAACTGATTTATTAAATAATAAAGAATTATTATTAAACAGTAATATATGTTATAAAAAATATATTTATAAAAAAATTAATATATTAAATTTATTTATAATAAATAATATAAAACCAAATTGGATTTTTTTAGATTTATTACCTATATTACCTGCAGGATTAAGGCCATATTTTTATATAAATAATAGTATGTATATAATATCTACAATAAATGAAAATTATAGATTGATTATTTTGAAAAATAATAAATTAAAATATTGGTTATATTTACGTAATAATATTTTTTTTATATTTGAAATAATAGAAAAACGTTTATTACAACAATTAATTGATTATTTATTAATAAATAAATTAATTTTAAAAAAAAATAATACTTTTTTTAATTTTAGTAAAACTTTTAAAGGTAAATATAGTATAATAAAATATAATTTATTAGGTAAAAGAGTGGATTTTTCAGGTAGATCAGTTATAACTATTAATCCTAATATTATATATAATAATATTGGATTACCATATTATATTAGTATATATTTATTTAAACCTTTTTTAATAAATATTTTAAAATATAATTTTAAATTTAATATTATATTTAAAAGTTTATTAATTAATAAAAATTTATTTAGTATTCAAAAATTTTTAAATAAATTATTACAAAATCAATTTATTATAATTAATAGAGCCCCTACATTACATAGAATGAATTTACAATCTTTTATACCTATATTAACAGAAGGTTATTCATTAAAATTTTATCCTTTAGGATGTTCTAGTTTTAATGCAGATTTTGATGGAGATCAAATGTCTGTATTTTTACCATTAATAAAAACTTCAAAATTTGAATCTAATATAAATTTAAATTTTGATAAAAATATTATTTCTCCTTCTAATAATATTAATTTGTTTAAAAATTTACAATATTATAAATTAGGTATTAATACATTATTAATATTACATTATAATAAAATATTTAATTTTTTTTATTTTAATTCTATAGAAAAAATATATGAATATTATAATAATAATGTATTATTTATATTTAATTTAATTTGGATAAAATATGTAAATAATAATAAAATTTTTTATATATTAACTTCAGTTAATAGAATAATTATAAATTTATATATGTATATATATTAAATTTTAGATATGTATTTTTATTTTTTAAATAAATATAATTTACAAATTTTAGAGAAAAAATTATTAAATATTTTTAAATATAATATAAGTTCAAAAATTTTGCATGAATTATTATATTTAGGATTAGAATATAGTTTTATATATAATTATTCTTTAAATTTAAATGATTTTTCAAATTTAATATATTTATTAGTTTTATATAAAAAAAAAATTACTAATATATATAATAATAAATATTATGAAATAAAATATAATTATATAAATATATTTTTAAATAATTATTATTATTTAAAAATTATAAATAAAATTCAATTAATATTAAATAATATTATTTATTTTAAAATCAATCCTATATATTCAAATTTATATTTATTTTTTAAATATAAAATAAAAATAAAATATTCACAATTACAACAATTAATAGGATTTAAGGGATATATTTCTAATATAAAAGGTATAGTTTATGAAAAACCTATTATAAATAATTATATTAATGAATTATCAATATATGAATATATATTATCTTGTTACGGTTCTAAAAAAGGAATTATAGATACAGCTTTAAAAACAGCAGATTCAGGATATTTAACAAAACGTTTAGTTAATATAACAAATAATTTTATAATTAAAGAATTAAATTGTAAATCACCTTTTATTTTTAAATATATGTGTAATATGGATATATATGGTAATATAATTTTACCTTTTAATATATTACAATTTAAAATATTGCAAAATAATATTTTAAATATAAATAAAGGTATATGTTTAAATTTTAAAAATATTTATATAACTAAATATGTATTAAATAATTTATTAAAATCTTATTATAATATATATATATATTTAAATATAAAATCAATATATTTATGTAATATATTTAATAATATATGTAATAATTGTTTAAATTATAAACAATTATATAAATATAATTTAGGGCAACATATTGGAGTTATATCAAGTGAAGCTATAGGAGAACCTAGTACTCAAATGGTATTAAGAACTTTTCATGTAAATTCTATTTTAAAAAATAAATATAATTGTAGTTTATGGGAAAAATATAATATTTATAAAATTTTTTTTTATAAGTTTAAAATAAAAAAAATATTTAAATTAATTTTTAATTTTAAAAAATATATTAATGGTAAATTTAATTTAATATTTTTAATAAATAAATTAATATTTAAGTATATATATTTAAATTATAATTATATATTAAATAATAAATTTATTAAATATAGTTTTATATATAATTCTATATCAAAAAATTTTAAATATAATTTAAATAATATTATTATTAAATATTTTAATTCTAAAATAAAATATTATAGTTATTATATAATACAATTATTAATTAAAAATTTGTATAATAAAGGGATTATATATAATTTACATGCTTCTTATTATTATTATAATTATATAAAATTATATAATATTTATAAACAAGGTATAATTTATAATTTAAAGGTTAATAAAAAATATAATATTATGTATTTTATAAAAAATTATTTTAATATGTATTCATATTATTATTTAAATATTAGTAATGTTATATTAATAAATTCTAATTTTTTTAAAAAAAATAAAAAATATTATGATATTTAAAATAAGTTTAGTTAATATACAAAATAAAAATAATATAAATAATAAATATAAATTAAAATTAAATTATTATAAAAGTAATAATTTATTAATATATATATTATTTATTAGATTTATTAAATATAATTATTATAATAAAAATATTTATATATATAATAATAAAAATAATAGTTTATTTAATTGTAAAGTTTATAATTTATATATATATGAAATATTAAAATATAAATGGAGTAAATATTTATTATCTAATTTTAAATATAATTTATTTATTATTTATAATAATTATATAAAATATTTATATAAATATAATATTAAAATTATATTATATATTTTAAAAAATTTATATTTTATAAATAATAATTTTATACATAATAGTAATATTTTGTATACTTATAATATTATTTATAATAATCAGTATAATTTTTTATATAATTATAAAAATAATATAATTAAATTATTAAATAATAATTTTTATAATAAAATTTTTTATATATATAATAATAAAAATATATATAATTTATATTTAAATGATATAACAATAGGACTACACTCAATTAATATTATATTTGAAAATAAAAATATTAAAAATAATATTTCTTTTATTTCAAATAATGTATATGTTATTTTTTATATTAAATATTATAATTATTTAAATAATATTATATATATATATAATGTATTAAATATATATACAATGAATTATTTTAAATATAAATTGAATTTTTATTCATATATTTTTGAAGATATAAGTTCAATTTTATATAGTGGATATTCATTAAATACAGATTTTTATTTAATAAATAATAATTTAAAATTTTATTTTAAATATTTATTAATTAATACAAATATTTATCAATCAATTAAAAGTTCTTATATATATATATATAATATTTTAATGGAATCTATTTTAAAACAATATAGTTATCAAAATATTTATTTACCTTCTATATATTTTGAATTAATTATAAAAAAAATGTTATCATGTATAAAAATAATATCTAATAATTTTAAAATATTTAAATATAATGATATAATACCTTTATATTTAATTAATATACTTAATTATTCATTAAATTTAAATAAATATAAAATATATAAATATGAACCTATTATTTTAGGAATTACAAAATCAATTTTGGCAAATTCTGGATTTTTAACAAATATAAGTTTTCAAAATACATTTAAAATTATAAGTTTAAATATTTTAAATAATAAAATAGATTGGTTAATTGATATAAAATCTAAAATAATAATGACAGATTTATTACCTATAGGTAACGGATGGTATAGATATTTAAAAATTTAATTATAAAAAATAATGTTTATTACATTTAATACTTTATTAAAATCTAAAATTTATATTGATAATAATTTTAAAAATATTCATTTTAATAATTATAAATTTATATATAAAATAGAATATAATTATTGTATTTTAAATTTTATTTTAATAATTTTATATTTATATAAATTATATATATATATTTATAATATATCTTTAAAAAATAATAAAATTTTATTTATTCATAATAATAATTTATTTATTAATTTTATTATTAAAATATGTATTTTAACTAATAATTTTTATATAATTAAATGGATTCCTGGTTTGTTAACAAATTGGAGATTATTTAAAAAAAGAATTATTATTTATATATGGTTAGAAAAAATATTTAAAAATAAATATTATATAAAAATATTATCAAAAAAATGTTTATATAAATTTAAATATATTTATAATAAATTATGTATAAATTTATATGGAATAAGAAATATGTTAATATTACCAAAATGTATTTTTTTAATAAAATATAATAATTTAATTTTAAAAGAAATTTTAAAATTAAAATTAATTTTAATAAGTTTTATAAATTTAAGTTTAGATTCAAGTTATATAAATATAAAAGTTTTAGGTAATTATAATAATTATAAATCTATAAAATTAATATATAAAATAGTTTATACATCAATAATTCATAGTAAAATTAAAAATATGTAAATATATTTTTAATTATGTATATTTTATTATATATAAAATTAATATATAAAATATTATACCAAAAATTTATTTTTTTTATTAATAAAATATTATATTTATTAGATATTATATATAATATTTTTAAATTTTTATATTTATAATTTATAATATTATATATATATTTATTTGAATTTTTACTTTTTAATAATATATTAAATTTATTTTTTATATAAATAAATTTTTTAATATTATTTTTTTTATTTTTAAATTTTTTTAATAAAATATTTTTTTGTAATTTATAATATAAATTTAATATCATGTTTATATTATTATATATAATAATTATATAAAAGAGAAAATGGGATTTGAACCCATGAAATATACATATATTTTTTTGATCTCAAATCAAATACAATAAACCTCTCTGTCATTTCTCTTATTTTTTTTTATATTATATAATAAAAGTTTTATTAAATTTTTATTTAATATAAAATTATATTTTAAATATTTTAATAATATATAATATATACAAGAAATTATATTTAATTTAGGATTATAAATACCTAATTTAATTATATTTAAATTATTATTCTTTTTTATATATAAATATATTTTATAAATTTTATATAGAGTTTTATTTGACTTAAAATATAAAAAAATTTTTTTTTTCATTATAATTTTTAAATATATTTTTATATACAAATAATGGAATTTGAATCCATATCTTTAATATGGAAAATTAATATTTTACCTATTTAAACTATATTTGTTATTTATAAAGAATATATATTAAAATTTAAATTATAATATTTATTTAAAAAATAATATAAAATATATTTATTTTTAATAAAATAATTTTTATCATAAATTAATAATAAATCACTTATTGATTTATTTAAAATTAAATCTAATATTCTTTTTAATGAACGAGCTCCATATAATGGGTTATAAGTTAATTTAATTAAAAAATATTTAAGTTCTTTTTTTATATAAATTATTATATTTATTTTATTTAAATATAATTTAATTTTTAATTCATTTATAAATTTATTAAATATTAATAATAAAGAATTTATATTTAAAGGATTAAAAATTAATATATTTGTTAATCTATTTAATAATTCAGGTTTAAAATAATTATTAATATTTAATTTAATATTTTTTTCTATATCTTTTAAATCTTTATTAGATAAATAATATTTATTTTTTAAATATAAATTATAATTTTTAGGACAACCTAAATTACTTGTAAATAAAATAATTGTATGTGTAAAATCAATTAATTTACCTGTAGAATCTGTTAATCTACCTTCATCTAAAATTTGTAACATTATATTATATATTTCAGGATGAGCTTTTTCTATTTCATCAAATAATATTATAGAATTTGGATTTTTATATACTTGTTCAGTTAATTGACCTCCTTCAGAATATCCTATATAACCAGGAGGAGATCCAATTAATCTAGATATAGAATGTTTTTCCATATATTCACTCATATCAAATCTAATTAAATTTTTTTCTGAATTAAATAAATATTTTGCTAATATTTTAGCTAATTCAGTTTTACCAGTACCACTAGGACCACATAAAATCCAACTACCTATAGGTTTATTTTTTGTTTTTAATCCTATTAAATTTTGTTTAATTGAAGGTAATATTTTATTAAATATATGATTTTGACCATGTATATTCTTATATAAATAATATTCTAATTTTTTAAAATTAGAATTAGTTATTTTATTATTTTTAAATAATATAGTTTTAGAAATGTTTAAATATTCAGAAATTGTTGTTTTTATATCTTCATATGTTATAATTAAATTATTTTTATTTTGTAAATATACATTATTATTAGTTAATATATAATTAAAATTAGAAATTTGTGTATTTATTTTAAATAAATATTTTTTAGAACATAAATTTTCTAATAAAATTAAAGGGATTATAGGAGATTTTATATTTGTAATATATTTTTTACTTAAATTAATTAATTCATATATAATATAATTATTTATATGTATTTTATAATAATTTATATATTTATATATATTATATTTTAGAATTAAAAATATTTGTAAAAATGATAAATTTTTTATTTGTATTGTATAAAAAAATTTAATTTGTAATAAATTATTATATTTAAAATATAAATTATATTTATCTTTAGTTGTTATTATTATTATATGTATATTATAATTAGAAATTTTATTTAATAATAAATATAAATAATATAATTTATTTAAATTATTATTATCATTATTTACCTCATTAAATATTTCTATATTTTTTATAACTAAAATTAATTTATAATTATTTATTAAATATTTAGAAATATTTAATATTTTAGATATTATTATATATATATCATAATTTAATAAATCATTTAATATCCATATTTCTGTATTATATAAATATATAGGTACTGTTTTATTTTTTATATTATTCATTAATATTTTTAAAAATGAAAATATATTTTCTTCTAATCCTTTTATTATTATATGTTTTTTTATTTTTAAATTTAAAATTTGTAATAATTTTAAATATTGATATTTATTTAAATTTATATTATAATTATATATTAAATTTATATTATAAATATTTGTAGAAAATTCTTTTAATATTTTTTTAAAATTATTAGGAAATATATTTGTTATAGATATATAAAAATTTAAATTAGAAAAATTTAAATTTAAATATTTAAATAGATATTGAATATCTTTATCTTTTTCATTTAATAATAATAATAATAAATTGAAAGAATTTATTTTAAAATTAAAATTATTTAATTTTCTTAATATATTAATAATTTTATTTGAAAATATTACATTTATTATATTTTTATTATACTTATATTTATTTAATAAAAATAAAATTAATTTATTAGTTATTAAATTTTTATTTATTTTAAAAAATTTTGTACATAAATTATTTGTTAATAATAAACTTAATAATAAATGAATAGGCATTATAAAATAATTATTATATTTTAATGCTAAATATTCAGATTTAATTAATATTATTATTAATTCCTTTGTACTATATAAATTATTTAAGATCATGAGAAATTTATATTTTATATTTAATTATTTTTAAATTATTAATTATAATATATAATAATTGATTTATATTATAAAATAATAATTGCATTTTTTTATATAATAATATTTTATATATTACTAAATATATTTTATTAAATTTTTTATAATATTTTTTATATAAATTATATATTGTATAATTATATATTATTTTAAAATTTTTATTAGAATAAATATAAATAATAAATATATTTACTTTATATTTATAAATATATTCCATTATTTTTTTATTTAAAAAATTAATATTAATATTATATATTTTAAATTTAACATTTAAAATAGAATTTAAATTAATTTTATTATTATCAATATGCTTAATTATAAATTTACATTTATATAAAATAATCATTATATTAGATATATATATATTTAAATATTATTATATACATGTCTTAAAGGATTTGAACCTTCATTATAAATTTTGGAAATTTATATTTTTACTTTAAATTAAAGACATAATTTTATGTATATATGAATAAAGAGAATTAAACTCTTATAACAATTTTGGTAAAATTGTATTTTATCTTTAAATTATATTCATTATTTTTTTAGAATAATAGGATTTGAACCTATATTAATGAAATCAAAATTCATTACCTTAACCTTTTGGTTATATTCTATTAATATATAATATATAAAAAGTCATTATAGCTCAATGGTAGAGCCATGGATTGAAGATCCATATGTTATCAGTTCAAATCTGATTTTTGACATTTATTTAATAACAATATTATAAATAAAAAATTTAATAAATATTTATATTTTTTATATATAATAACTTTAAAATATTTATTATTATTTATAAAAATAAATATTAAAATAATTATATATATCCAGATATATATATTATTATAATACATATAAAAATATTTAATAATTTTAAATATTTTTTTTATAAAAATTTTATTTAATATATTATTATTTTTTTCTTTAAACATAATATAATAATTTAATCTATAATATCTATTATAATTCCTGCTCCTATAGTTTTACCTCCTTCTCTAATAGAAAATTTCATATTTAAAATTAATACAATATAATGTTTTAATTCAATATGTAAAGTTAATTTATCCCCAGGTATTCCAATTTTTTGAATATGATTATTTAAATATATATTTTTTATCTCACCTGTTACATCTACAGTATGAATAAAAAATTGTGGTTTATATCCTATATTAAATGGTTTATGACGACCTCCTTCCTCTTTAGTTAATATATAAGTTTCAGATATAAAAGATTTATATACTTTTAATTTATTTGGAGATGATAAAATCATACCTCTTTTAATATCTTTTTTTTGAATATTTCTTAATAAAATACCCACATTATCTCCAGATTGAGCTTGTATTAATTGTTTTTTAAACATTTCTAATCCTATAACTGTTGTTAATATTGAAGATTTTTCAAATTTTAAAATTTCAACTTCTTCATTTAAATTTATACATCCTTGATCAATTTTACCTGTAACTACAGTACCTCTACCTGTAATAGAAAATACATCTTCTATAGACATTAAAAAATAATCATCTAATTTTTTTCTTATTATTTTAATACCATCAATAATATTAATTAAATCATTTAATTTTTGTATCCAAATATTTGATTTTATTAATTCATAATTTTTATTTTTTTGTATAATATTAATAACATTTAATGCAGATCCAGTCAATATTTTAATATTATCTAAATTAAATTCATATTTACTTAATAATTCATTTATTTCTAATTTAATAAATTCTATTAATTCTAAATCATCACATAAATCTTCTTTATTCAAAAATATTATTATATTTTTTATACCTATTTGCTTAATTAATAATAAATGCTCATATGTTTGAGGCATAATACCATCAATTATAGATATTACTAAAATTGCTATATCCATTTGTGTAGCTCCTATAATCATATTTTTAATATAATCAGAATGACCAGGACAATCTATATGAGCACAATGTTTTGTAATTGTTTCATATTCAATATGTGTTGTATTTATAGTTATACCTCTTATTTTTTCTTCAGGAGCAGAATCAATATCAGAATAATTATATTTTTTAGATAAACCTTGTAAATTTAATAAATAAGATATTGCTGTTGTTAATGTTGTCTTTCCATGATCTACGTGTCCTATAGTACCTAAATTTATATGTTGTTTATTTCTTATAAATAATTTATTATTCATTATATATATAAAATAATATATAATAATTTATAAATAATAATATAATCTTTTATTATTAATATTTATTTAATATTTTTCTTTTTATTTAATAAATATATATATATTCTATTTGATATAAATTGTTTTATTAAATTTAATTTAATCTTATATAAATCACCTTCTTTATTATAACTTAAAATTAAATACTTACAAATAATTTTATATAATAATAAATTTTTATTTTTTATAATTTTATTAAATAATTTATATATATTAAATATAGATTGTTCATATGATATAATTATAGGTATATTATATTTAATAGTATTAATTTTAATTTTAAAAAATGAAAATGGTAATATTAAATTTTTAATAGCTTTATTAAAAATAAATATACCTAATTTATTAGTTATTTTTTTTAACAAATATAATATATATATTAATAATTTAATACCTTTATTAATTTTTCCTTTTTTTAAAAAAATTTTTATAAAATATTTAAACATTATTATTTATTTTTTTTTTACTCCATATTTAGATCTAGATGTTTTTCTATTTACTACTCCTATAGAATCTAAAGATCCTCTAATTATTTTATATTTTATACCAGGTAAATCTTTTACTCTACCTCCTTTTATTAATACAAAATTATGTTCTTGAATAGATTTACCTTCACCTGGTATATATGCTAATAATTCTTTATTATTTGATAATTTTATTTTAGCTACTTTTCTTAAAGCTGAATTAGGTTTTTTTGGAGTTTTAATTAATATTTTTAATACAATACCTTTTTTTTGAGGACATTTATTTAATAAAAAATTATTTTTTTTATAATTTTTATTTTTTTTTATCGTTTTTTTATATAATAATTTATTTATTGTTAACATTTTTTTTTTGAAATTTTACATCCATTATATGGTATAGAAGTTATATCAAATAATTTATTTATATTTAATTTTTTATTTTTATATTTAATATTTAATAATAATTTTAATATATGTATTCTATATGAATTTATACCATTAAAAATAACATTAATATTTAATAAATTTTTATTTATTAAATATTTTATTATATTTATAGTTATAATATTATTAGCTATTATAGTATTTTTTAATCTATTTTTAAAAAATTTTAAACAACCACAAGATATATATTTTAAATTTTTTATATAAATAAATTTATTATTATATTTTTTATATTTAGAAACAGTTACTAATGTATTTTTTAAAGTTAATTTAAAATATAAAAATACTATATAATTATTATATAAATTAATCATTGTATTTGTTTATGTTTTTTATTAATACAAATAATACGTAATTTTTTAAAACGTTTTATTAATTTACATTTATTACATATTTTTTTTATAGAAGAACGTTTTTTCATTTTATATTAAATTTTTTAATTTTATTAATAATAATACTATTCATTTTATTTTTTAAAATCTTATAAATATACATATTTAATCTATATAAACTTAATTTAACTTTTATTATATTATTTTTAATATTAAAAATATTTATATTATTTAAATTTAATAATAAATTAAATTTATACAAATTTAATCCATATATATATTTAATTATATATATAATATATAAATTTTTATTTAAATATAATATCATATATTTATAATTAAAAAATATTAAATAATATTAATAATATTTTATTTAACAAATTATATTTATTTAACATAATATTATAATATATAATAATTTTACAATTTAAATATCCTAAACATTCTAATAAATATTTTAATAATAAAAACCTAATATCAACATAATTATAAATATTAAATTGAATTTTTATACATAACTTATTAAAATTAATATAAATATATTTTAATTTATATATATTCAATAAAGAATATTTAAAATAATAAATATTATTCAAAGCTTTATTTCTAGATAATATAATAGCTTTATTTACATTAATATTTTTACCTACACCTACACCTATCCAACCTTGTTTATTTCCTATTAATAATATAACTTTATACCTATTAATTCTTCCTTTTTTTATAGTATAAGAAATTTTTTTTATTTCAATAATTTTTTCTATAATATTATTATTTAAAATATTATATTTACTTTTTATATTATTATTATATTTATAAATATAAAAATAAATATAATTCAAATTATAATAAATATTAATATAAAAATAACTATTAAAAATATTTATAAAATAATATAATTTTAAATATAAAAATAATAATTTAATATAAATTATAAATAAATAATTATTAAAATTTTTTTTTATTTTAAACTTTATTATTATAAAAATACTCTTTAATAATATTAATATATAATATAATAAATAATAATTATTATTTATATTATTTCTACTAATTACCATCATAACATTTTTATTCCTAAATCTTTATATTTATTTATATATTGAAAAGAATTTATTAATTTACTAACATAACATAATATAAATAAATCTACACTAAATAAAAACAATAAATTTTTATCAACTTTACAATAAACTAATCTAGGTATTTTAATAATTATTTTATGATTATATTTTAATTTAAATATAATTAAATTATATTTATTTAAATAATACAATTTATAATTTATACCTATTATATTTAATATTATTTTATATCTTTCATATTTTATTTTTATATTATGTAAAAAAATATGTTTATATATTTTAAATAATAAATAAAATATATTTTTATACATATAAAATATATAAATAACATTTAATATATAAATATACTTTATTATTTCATTACTTTTCATATTATATATAACATATATATAATCAAAATTTTTCTTATCTAACACTAAATAATAATAAATATTATTACTTTCAAAATTAATAATACTATTATAAAAAAAATTATACTTCTTATAATTTAACATTTCAATTTAAAATTAAAAAATATAAAACATTAAAATACCTCCAATTTTATATTTTAAAAATGTTATATGTGTAATAAACTTATATTTAAAAGAATATAAAATTAACAACCCTTTAAAATATCTATATAATTTTAAAAAATTCAATAATTTATTATAATTTATATAAAATACTTGATTATATTTTACATACATTTTAAAATGATTTATTTTATTATATGAATTTAATAAAATAAAAATATAATATTTATTATTAATAATAATAATATAAAATTTTAATACATAATTATAATTATATAATAATATAATTAAATAATATATAATTTTATTAAATCTATATAATATAAATTTATTATTCATTTTATAACTATATTTAATTTTATTTAAAAATTTTATTATCATTAAATATATTTTATTTTTAATTTTTTTATATTTATATTAATCTTATTTTTAATATATTTTAAAATATAATAATTACTTTTAGTACCTATAGAATTTAAATTATTATTTAAAATAATAACAGCATTCTTATTAAATTTAATAGAATAATATAACTTTAAATTTAAAAATCTTTTTTGTTGTATTAAAATACCTTTACACTTATCTGATTTTTTATATAGACTATTATTATATAATTTATAAACTATACCAATTAATATATCTCCATATTTTATTTTTTTACATTTATTTAAAGAATTAATATATTTAAATTTTAACACTCCACTATTATCTAACACATCCAATATACTATTTAAATATATCATAAAATCTTTATAACTTTATTATTACAATTTTTACTTTTTTTATAATATTTTAAAATTATATAATCATTTTTTATAATTTCATTTCTATAATCATACACTTTAATATATAAATTTTTTAAAATTAATTTTTTATATTTTAAATTATATAAATAATATGAAATACAAATTACTTTTATATTATTATCTAAATTTTTTAACACATAACCAATCTTTAATTTCATTAATACCTTTTTCTATATTTTAATTAATTTTTCTTATAAATTGTAATTTAAAAAATAATTTATAAGATAACATTTTAGTTATAAAATAAATAATTTTAATTGAAACATTACTTACCTCAAATAATAATTTATTTTTTTTTATAACACTAACATATAATTCTATAGGACCTTTACCAGCTCCCATTCTAGTCTTTAAAGATTTTTTAGTTAAAGATTTAGTACATTTTATACATATATTATATACTCCTATTTTTTTTATATGTTTATTTATTATAAATTTAGAAGTTTCTAATTGATTATATGTAATAAATCCAGAATTTAAAGAAATTATACCCCAATATAATTTTAAAAATTTTAATCTAAAATTTCCTCTTATTTTTCCTTTTTGAGTTTTATTTAAAATATTATTATTCATAATTATATAAATTAATTATTTAACCATATTTTTATACTCAAAATACCATATTTAATATATATAATATCATTTAAATATTTAATATTATTAGATACCATATTTAAAGATATAATACCATATGTATATATTTCAACTTTAGTTTTTAAACTATTTTTAAAACATCCTGAAAATTTAATCTTTAATCCTTTTATATTATAATTATATTTTTTTAATATATTATTATATAAATAATCGAATATTAATTTTAAAGATTTATACTTAATATAATATTGTTTAACATAAAACATTATCATATTTATATCAATATTATGAATATATTTAAATTTAAAATAACATATATAATTATAATATTTATAATAATAATAATTAAAATAATTTAACAAAATAAAAATATATTTAAAATTGTAATTATTATATACTATATTTTTATCATATAAAAAAAATATAATTAAAAATTTATTTATATCAAAATTTATATGTATATTAATATAATTATTATTATTATTACATATATTATTATATATACTATAATATAAAAAATATATTAATAATATTTTTAATAAATAATATTTATTATTTATTATATTTATATAAAAATTATTAATATAATTTTTATATATCAAACTTCTAAATATTAACGGATTTACTTTATGACCCATATTTTATTAATTAATTTAATAATAATTCTTTTATTTTATTTTTAATATATTTAGTATAAATAAAATTACCTATTTTATTATATAATTTATATTTATTAATATAAATTGGTATAAATTTACAACCATTATATACTTTTATATATAAATTTAACCATTTTTTATAAATATACAAATTTTTATTATATATATTTAATATTATATTTTTATTATATTTAAAATTAATAAATATATACCTATTATTTATAGATAATTTTAACCAATATAATTTTACCATATTTAATTTATTTCTATTATAATTAATAAATAAATTATTTTTTAAATTTATATCCTTTAGAATGTAATCCTTTTCTAGAACAAGGATATTTACGACCTATACCTGTTTTTCCTTCTCCTCCCCCATGTGGATGATCACATACATTTTTTGCTTTTCCTCTTACTTTAGATTTTTTATTATAATAAATATTATATCCAGCATTTTTTATTTTAAATTTATTATATAAAATATTACTATTAATACCTATATAACAAAAATTATTATTATTTATACACTTAATTTTTTGAGAAGGAAATTTTATATACACTAAATTTTTATAAAAAATTAATATTTGAGCAAAAGTACCAGCTGATCTTACAAATATACTTCCAGTATTATGATAAGATATATTATAAATATATATACCTAATTTACAATATTTTAATTGTAAATAACTACCAATTTTTATATAATTAATATTAGTTAAATAATAAATAGAATGTAATAAATAATTATGTTGCAAAATAATATATTTTTGTAAACTATTTAACTTAAAAGACAAATATATAATACATCCTATATATGTATTTCTAAAATAATTTTTTAATTTTTTAAATAAAATAACCTTATACTTAATATTTACATTATAATTATCATACCAAAAATCAATTATTTTATAATTATATTTTAATTTACCCCCTCCTTTATTATAAATAGTAATACATCCTTTATTATTTTTACCAAAATTTTTAAAATATTTATATGTATTATATTTTTTTAATTTTAATATCATTTAAATAAAATATTATATTTTTTATATTTATTTTTAAATACTATATATTTAATTTTAATAATATAAAAATTATTTTTAAATATATGATTAATAATATATTTAATATTTAATTTTGTAATATATATTGAAGTATAAATTATACAATATTTACATGTAATAAAATTTATTTTATAAAATATATTATTTAAATAAAAATTAAAAATAACTTCTTTCATAATTTATTAATTAAATTATTAATATAATATAATTATATAATATCAAATTAAATAACATATTCTTATTATTAATTTTATAAAAATTCATTATTTTATATTTATTTACCTTATTTTGTTTAAATACTATACCATTAAAATATAAAATTTTAAATATAAAATAATCAATAATAAATTTTTTAAAATCAATAATATTAACATAATTACACATATTAAATATATTTTCAAATTTTATTATTATTATATTACTACGTTTATTACATAATAAATATATAAAAATCAATTTATATATAAATTTATTATATTTAATTCTATTTTTTACATAATAAGGACCAAAACTACAAGAACCTTGTTTACATACAGGAGATTTAATATTTTTTAATCTAGCTTTTCCTGTTCCTTTTTGTATTCTAATTTTTTTATTACTATAATTTATAATACTTCTATTTTTTGTATATTTATATACATAAATATTATATATATAATAATATTTTATAATATAATTAATTATTTTATAAATCTTTATATAATAATTTAAATATAACTTTATAAAAAAATTATATTTATATTTAAATATTATATTATTAAATATATTATTTTTTATATTTAATATAATAATATTCATTTTAAATATTTTTAAACAAATATTTTTTTCAGAAAAATAGGATTTGAACCTATATCTTCTATCTCCAAAATAGGTATGTTACCTTTACACTATATTCTGAATATATACTTTTAAGGAAAATTGAATTCCTATTTTCTTCTTGAAAAAAAGATGTCTTACCATTAAACGATAAAAGTTATATATTATATAAATTACCTGAGATTTGAACTCAGAACCATTCGATTAAAAGTCGAGTACTCTACCAATTAAGCTAGTAATTTTAAAATATACGAATTTGACGAGAATTGAACTCGTATTCTTTATTATGACAAAATAATATTTTAACCTAATTAAACTACAAATTCTAAAGTTTTTATATAGAGAAAAAGGGATTCGAACCCTTGGTATAATAAAAATATATTATTTATACAATAAATTAGCAATTTATAACTATAAACCTCTCAGTCATTTCTCTAAATATAAGTTAAATCAGATTTGAACTGATGTAGATATATAATCAATGAATTTACAGTCCATTCCTTTTAACCTCTCAGGCATTAACTTATAATTTTATATTATACATTTAAGTAGATTCGAACTACTGACGATCAATTATTGAAAATGAATTATGAGTCCATTGCTTTCGACCTCTTAGCTATAAATGTCATTAAATTAGAGATAAAGGGATTTGAACCCTTATAACAATAATTGTTAATGGATTTTCTTATTAAATTTAGACTTTTAAAATATAGAAAAGTCGTTTGAATATATAAATAATATATTACAGAATTTATAAAAAATATTTTCTTATCAAATAATATTATTAATTTATAATTAACTCATTTTATATTTATTATTAATATATTAAAAAGTCCATTGTGTATACCTAATTTCACCATATCTCTATTTATTATAATAAATGATATTCAGAATTGAACTGAAATATAATAATTTGCAATTATTTACTTTAACCTTATTAAGTTATATCATTATATTTTATTTTTATATAAAAAATAAGATAAATAATGAGAATTGAACTCATATAAAAGAAACCACAATTCTTTATCTTAACCATTAGATTATATTTATCAAATTATAATTTAATTAAATATTATTATATATATATAATATATTATTTAATAATATATTATTTAATATTTTAATTTTTAAATTATATATACATACTATATAAAAATTATTAAAACTATAAATTTTAATAAAATTATATTTATATAAATTAGAAATATATATATATATATTATATCTATACATTAAATTTTTTAAAATTATATATTTAATTTTAGAATTAAAAAAAACTATATCATTAACATTTAATATTATATTATAATATTTTATATTAATATTATTTATATAAATATTTTTATACTTTATATAATATCTCGATTGTAATATAGTTTTAAAAAAACCAATATTTACTAAAAATACATCTAATCTTAATTCTAATATATATAATAATTTAAAATAAATATTACTTTCTTTATAATTTTTCAATTTTTTTATATAATATAAATATTGTTTAAATGTTAAACAATAATTATAACATATATATCTTATATATATTAACTTAAAATTAAAATAAGATTTATACATTATTTTATAATTTAATAATTTATAATTATATTTACTTGATAAATATAATAAAAAAGGAATATTTAATTTTTTTAAAATTTTTATTTTTGATTTTAAAAATTTTATCATAATAATTATATACTATAACTAATTCAAGCTAATGGTGAGATTTGAACTCATAATTTACTGATTACAAATCAGTTGCTTTACCAATTAAGCTACTTTAGCAAATAAAATATTAATAATTAAATAATCAACTTATTAGGAATTATATACTAAATATATTACTATAAATATATAATAAGCCTATAAAATAATTTTTCTAATTATTGTTTTATTCATATATATGATTAGAATATTATTTTCAATTAAATTTTTTTATTTATATTACTTCAACAATTAAAATTTTATACTTAACTACTCAACATTACAAAAATTAATAATTGATATATCATTGGTATAATTTTTTCGATCCTCTCGTACTAAAAAAAATAATTTCAATATTCTAACACTTATATTAGATATGGACCGAACTGTCTCACGACGTTCTGAACCCAGCTCACGTATCGCTTTAATAGGCGAACAGACTTACCCTTAAAACATACTACTGCTTTAGGATGCGATAAGCCGACATCGAGGTGCCAAACCTTTTCGTCAATATGGACTCTCGGAAAAGATTAGCCTGTTATCCCTAGAGTAACTTTTATCCGTTAAGCGATAATTTTATCATTAAATAATTATCGGATCATTAAGACCGACATTAATCTCTGTTTAATTTGTATATTTTACAGTTAATTATATATATATCTTTATATAATATATATAACATTGTACTCCTCCGTTTATATATAGGAGGAGACCGCCCCAGTCAAACTATCTTATAAATATTGTTTAAAAATTTGTTATAAAATTTTTTTAAGAATTCATATATATAAAAAATGGTATTTCATTTTAAATTACATTATTTCCAAGAAAATAATATTATTATTTCCCATTTATACTATGCTTTACATATATATATTCAATATTTATTAATAGTAAAGCTTCATAGGGTCTTTCTGTCCTAATATAAGAAATCTGCATCTTCACAGATAATTTTATTTCATTAAGATTATTTTTAAGACAGCATTTAAGTCGTTACATCTTTCATGCAGGTCGGAACTTACCCGACAAGGAATTTCGCTACCTTTGGACCGTTATAGATACAGCCGCCGTTTACTATAGCTTATATAATATATTATAATTTTATATTATATATATTATTTTTACATAATAGCACTGGGCAGATGTCAATCTTTATACATCATTTTTCAATTTAGCAAAGATTTGTGTTTTTGTTAAACAGTCGCTTAAATTTTTTATTATAAACTAAATAAGTATCTTTTATCCCTAAGTTACAAGATAATTTTGCCGAGTTCCTTAAAAAAAATTATCTCAACTTCTTAATAATATATACAAATTTACTAGTGTCAGTTTACGGTACGAATATATAATAAATATATATTAATAATTTTTTTATAATATAATAATATAAAAATTATTATATTAGTTTTATAATATACATTATTATTATATAGTATAAGAATATTAACTTATTTCCTATTAACTACACATTTCATCTCATCTTAAGATTCGACTAACCCTATTCAAATAAATTTTAAATAGGAAACCTTAAATTATAGAAGTATTGGATTTTTACCAATATTTACATTACTCAAATTAGCATTATCACTTTTGATTTTATTATTTTAATTTACATATAAATAAATATTATCAAAACGCTCTTTTACCAATTTAATTTACATATTAAATTTTATAATATCGATAATTAATTTATTTTCGATTATTTTAGAACTAAAATTATTAAATTAATGAGCTTTTACGCACTCTTTAAAAGATAACTGCTTCTAAATTTACTTTTTAATTATAAAAATAATTTTATATTCTTTTTAAAACTTAACTAATATTTAAAAATCTTAATTTATAATTAGGGCTGTTTCCCTTTTGAAAATAAAGCTTATCCTTTATTTTCTGATAACATATATATTTTATTAAATAAAATTCTTAAATTATTAATATTAATATTAATTATTTAAATTAATTTAATTAAAAAAGAGTTTTACATTTATTTATATATAAATACTATACTTACATATATTTCAAAGAGAACCAGCTATCTTCAAATTCGATTGGCATTTCACCACTAATTATATTTTATTTGATACTTCTGCAACAGTAATCAATTCAAACTTTAATTTAATATTATTTAAACTTAATTTTAAATATAATTAGATCATTTGATTTCGGGTCTATAATAAATAATATTTATAATGTTTATTAAAAATTTATAAACTCGATATAACTTTGGCTTCATTTATTATATATTTAACCTAATTATATACTATTTATTATAACTTGCTAATTCTTTCTTCAACAAGAATATAATAAAATTTAAATTAATTTTATTATTATTTATTAAATTTAAAATTCAGGTTCTTTTCACTATTTTTTCAAAATTCTTTTCATCTTTCCCTCACGGTACTATTTCTCTATCAACTTTTATTATATTAAATTTTATAAGATGATTCTTACTATTTTATATAATTACATTCATATAAAATATATTTTTATATTACTTATATAAAATTTTACATAATTAATGTTTAAAATATTTCAATTCGCTCGCCACTACTATGAAAATCGTTATTACTTTATTTTCCTTTAAGTACTAAGATGATTCAATTCCTTAAGTTTTTTAAAAAAATATTTATATAAAAATATTTTATTCAGATACTTTTATAATAAAAATAAATAATATTAATAAAAATAAATATATATTATTTTTATTAATTATTATAAAAATTTCGTTAATATATATAACGTCTTTCTTCAATAATAAAAACTATAGACATCCTTTTAAATTTATTATATATATTTAATTATATAATTAATAATTACATAATAAATTAATTATAAATTACTTTATATTTTATAAGCGAAAAACGGAATTGAACCGATTACCTTCGGAGCATGAATCCGACGAACTTTCCTTATGCTCTATTTCGCTATAAACAATTAAACTTGAAAAGACTTGAACTTTTATAATACAATTCGTAATTATATATTTTATCCTTTAAATTACAAGTTTATTATTTATAATAATAAAAATAAAGTAATTAACTTAGAGGTAAAGTTTCTGCTTTACATACAGAAGATCATTGGTTCAAATCCAATATTACTTACATAAATCTATAATTTAATGGATAAAATAAAAACCTTCTAAGTTTTATATGTAAGTTCAAATCTTACTAGATTTATTATATAATTATGAATATGGCGGAAATGGTATACGCACTAAATTTAGATTTTAGTTTTCTATAAGAGTTCAAATCTCTTTATTCATATTAATATAAAATAATATTTACTTCTTAAACTAGAGTTGAACTAGTATCTTTCGGTTAACAGCCGAATGCTTTAACCACTAAGCTATTAAGAATTATTATATATATAATATATTATATAATAGGGAATATAGTTTAATGGTAAAATCTTATTTTTGCATAATAAAAATAGTAGTTCAATTCTACTTATTTCCATATAAATTCTATATATGTTATTTATATATTTTATATATATTATTATATTGCGAGTTTGATCCTAGCTTAGAATTAACGCTAGAAATATACATTACACATGCAAATTTATGATAATATCATAGTGAATAGGTGAGGATATATAAATTTGTAAATTTTAAATAGATTATAATTTATTATATAATAATCTATAAGCGCATTTATTTAATTGTACTATATTAAAAATTATTATTATTTAAAATAAAATTTATATTTGATTAACTAGTTGGTAAAATAAAAGTTTACCAAGGTGATGATCATAAATTGATTTGAAAGAATGTACAATCACATTAGGATTGAAATAAAGCCTAAATTTTTTTTTAAAATCAGCAGTGAGGAATATTTTACAATAAGTGTAAGCTTGATAAAGTAATATTTCTTAAAGGAAGACAGTATTATTAAAATATTGTAAACTTTATTTTATATATATAAATATTGATATATATATAAAATAGTATTGGCTAATTTCTGTGCCAGCAGCAGCGGTAATACAGGAAATGCAAGCGTTATTCATTTTATTAGGTGTAAAGCGTTTTAAGGTTTTATATTAATTTTATTTTTAAATATTTAAGTAAAATTTAAAAAATAAATAAATAATAATATAATAGAGTATTATTAAAGTATTAAGAATTTTTTGAGAAGTAGTGAAATACAATGATACAAAAAGGAATACCAAAGGCGAAAGCATAATACTAAATAATTACTGACACTTAAAAACGAAAGCTAAGGTAGCAAATAGGATTAGATACCCTAGTAGTCTTAGCTGTAAACTATGAATATTTTATATTTATATATTATTTATAAATATAATAACTAACGTAATAAATATTCCACCTGAGTAGTATATTCGCAAGAATAAAATTCAAAGGAATTGACGGGAGCTTATACAAGTGGTGGAACATGTGGCTTAATTCGATGCAACACGATAAACCTTACCAAAATTTAACAATATTTTTATTATTAAGAAATTAATAATTTAATAAAATATATAAGTAGTGCATGGCTGTCGTCAGTTCGTGCTGTGAAGTATTAATTTCAGTATTATAACGAACGTAACCTTTTATAGAAAATAATTTTTATAATATATTATTTATAATAGATAAAATATATAAAAAAGATTACGTCAAGTCATTATGCTCTTTATATTTTGGGCTGCTCACGTGTTACATAAAATATTACAATATATTTATTATATGTAAATATAATATTTAAAATATATTTATAGTTCAGATTATAAATTGAAATTCATTTATATAAAGATGGAATCACTAGTAATCGCTAATTAGAATTATAGCGGTGAATAAGTTCTTAAGCTTTGTACACACCGCCCGTCACATCTGGAAAATATTATATTATATAAAAATTATTGTTAAATAATTATATATAAAAATATAATTTAGATGAAGTCGTAACAAGGTAGCTGTACTGGAAGGTGCGGCTGGATAAAGAAAATAAATTGGTTGATTTATTTATTATAAAAATAATATTGATATATTAAATTTTTTATTTATATAAATAAAAAATTTATTAATTATATATAAATTTTAATAGACAAAAATAATATTAATACACATTAATATAAATTTAGTTAAATATTATTTTTTATTTAAAATAAATAGGTTTTTAGTTTAAAGGTAAAACATACTCTTGATAAGGGTAAAATTTTAGTTCAATTCTAAAATAACCTAAAAAAAAATAAATAGGCCCTATATTAA